TTTTTCCTGAAGTCTTCTGAACCAATGCAGGATAATATTTTGCCATGTGTCCAGGCTGATGACACCAATAGCAAGTATTGGAACCAATCAAACATTCACCCTTATGCAATCTGCCACACTTAGCACAAGGTTCCATAACTTTATTTATAGTTGCACCCTTGACTCCATTAGGACTAAACTTGGGTTTCCTCTCATTTGATCCCTCAGTTTGATTGATTTGAATATCCTCTTCAAAACTCTTCCTTTTATGTTGATCCCTTCTCCTCTGAGTAGCTTGCAAATATGATTCAATCATTTGGGCCCTCTCTACCAGAGTAGAATAATCCTCAATGCCAAAAGGAATCAAAGGTTGTCTAATGATATCCTTCAAACCAGATAAGAAACGATGACACTTCTTTTCTGCAATGGGTATCTTCCCAATCTTCTGCCTCTATTGGTCCACCACTTGAAAACATCGGAGGCTTCATATCTTGGAATAACTTTAAATTTTTATCCATTGGAGAACTTCCACTACCTCCAACCTGGGTCTAAGTGTTCTTAATCATTTGGGTAAAAGATTCCATAGTAGCATTGATGCTATTACTCGAAGGCTCTGCTACAACTGGTATCTCCCTCCTAATTTCTCTCGTAGTGCCATCAGTGACATCATTTTCAGGATCCATAGCTCCGAAACATAACGCGATGAAATAAAATTAGTAGTCTACAATAATTATATCCTATAGCTTCTCTAACATATAGAATCATTCTATTGGCTCTTTCATATTAATCAATATTAAACCCTTTGCTTTGATATAATTTTTGTCACGACCCGACCCAATGAACTCGCATAGGCGAGGCGGGAACGGAGGTCGAACGGTAGACTAAAATATCAAATCTCTAAAACTATCACCATAAAATTTGAAAGAGCCAATAAAACAATAAAATTTAAAACACATAAATATAACCTCAACCAAATTCATATAATTGCCTTTCTTCCGATGCTCCTCTCCTACGATATACATTTCTACACCTACTCATTTTGATTTAATTTAAACTTACATGAAAAAATTTAATAACTAATAGTAAGTAAAACACGCTTATAAATTACAGTAATCAAGACAAAATGAATAATATGCTAGATGCTATATTTCATTTAAAATATTTGTAAATTTCTTATTTCGTATATATTACAACTATCATAGGAGCCACCGTCTAGTACCATAAATGTACTCCTTTATCATTTCCTTTTTCATATCCTTTATCATTTTAACACGCTTATAAATTACAGTAATCAAGACAAAATGAATAATATGCTAGATGCTATATTTCATTTAAAATATTTGTAAATTTCTTATTTCGTATATATTACAACTATCATAGGAGCCACCGTCTAGTACCATAAATGTACTCCTTTATCATTTCCTTTTTCATATCCTTTATCATTTTAACGTGCACGAGTACAGCATCCACAGTTAGTACCATAAAGGGGTGAGCTCCATCAATTCAACATGCACATACATTCACTCAATATAACAATCATATCATAATCATATCATCTCATTTCTATTGCATGTGACTTTATATGATAATGTCATAAAATGTAACATATAAATTGCATGATCAATCATTGTACAAGAGTAACATAATCATGATCTAAATTAATCATAAAGATTTCATAAACATGCTTGAACTTTCAAAACATATAACTGGAGAGAAACAAAAGTCATTACTATATATAAAGAATTATGTATACTTACTTCGATTTAAAGGATTTTATTACTCTGCTCGAACACCTTTCTTGAAGGCCCACGATTATCATAAACATTAATTTAGTATCCAACAGCTAAAGCTAATCACTCAAATTTAATCAATCTATTCTTATGAAATTTCCAAAGACTCTCTTTCTCTCTCTCTCTAATTTAAAACAGAAGGCATGTATTTTCTAAAAATTCATTTTTAATCCAAGTAATCCCTTTACCATTACTTAAAATAATTCAAAATAATTTCTATTTTTCGGATTTAAATTAATTTAAAATTAGGAAAATATCTTTTTGTGAGAAAAACTCAATTTCTACCCTTAGAAACCATCTTTTAGGACCCTTAGGAATCATATTTGTAAAAGCACTCATCTTTTAGGACCCCTAGGAACCATATTTTTAAAAGCACTTTCAAAATTTTCAACTTTAGGGAAAAACCCTAATTCTTCCAACTCAATAATTTTGAAGAAAAACCTCATTTCCAAGCATAAAAGTATCTCCTAAACATATCCTATCATTCTCTTAAAGAAATTTAAAATTTTCCTCAAACCCTAGATTTCTTTCTTGAGAAAATTCTAAGGAAAAACATGAGAAATTGTTCATAAGAACTCATCTTAATCTTCCCTACGATTTCCCTTCGATCTCCTTCACAAACAGCCGCCGGAATCCGCCCCTAAGGTCGCCGTCCTAGCCTTGCCCGTGCGCCTCCCTTCCACCTTCGCCTCTTCTCACATTCGGTTTCGGCTGAACGAACAAAATGGGGACCGAATTCATTCGGTCCCCTCAAGAGGAAAATAATGGTTAAGGCATAATGTCCTAAATGCCCTTCCATGACTCATTTTCCTTTAATATCACAAAGGGTATATTAGTCTTATTTTAAAGTTTTAAAAACTTCGTCAATTTTTAATTCCCAAACTAATCGAAATTCCATATAGGTTATTTATACCGTTTTGCTCGAAATTTTATGTACAATTTAATAAAATTAATTTTGTTAAAATCCGACGACTTTGAAAAATTCACTTAAATCTCATCGTGGCGCATCAAAAAGCGTGTGAGGTCTAAAATTAGCATTTTTTGGGTTTTACAATATGATACATATTGCTTTTGCACATTATAATCATAGGGTTCTATTCTAAAAGTTAAGCTCTCAAATTACAAATACATGTTTTAAAGCAACTATCTCAATCATGGCTATGTTGATATCAAGTCTCAACTAGAGGGGATCTTTTGTTATAAAATGCCTCTTAAATTTAAAAAAAAATAATTTTGAGCTCAAATATTGATGAAAATGCAAAAAAGATTTTATAAAATAAAAAAAATCTTCAAATTAAATCTTCCACTATATGCCATGATCTAGCCTGGAAGCTCGAATTAACGAAGTAAAAACAGACGGTCAAATGGAAAAGTACAATTCTTTCAATATTAATAATTACTAAATAGATTAATATCCAAAAGTAACTGAAGAGCAACTAAAACAATTTTCCAATTTGAACACATAGCAAATCAGTTCTTATCTATTTTCATTTGATCATCTTCTTCTGTACACTAACTTTTCTCTTTAAATCGTTTAACCCACAATAGATTTACCTGAAAATTTTCAATTCAATAATTTGAGTTTTTTCTATAACAAACTCAATGGTTGATTATAGTTTATAGCATAGCAATTAAACATGCATACAAGTAGTCATATTCATTTATTAAACTTTTAATTTATCATATATATGAATATTCAATATATATGTAGATCAAAATTTTTATTTTATTTTAAACTTCATTCTTTTAACATTTCATTTATGATAGGATCACCAACTAATTTTATCTTGTACCACTGAAGGTATGACTATTTTCATTCATTTTCTATTTAACATGCACATGTAAGTTGCGTCCCAACTAGTACCACAAGGGAGAGAACTCCTTATTTTTCCATGCATGTACCTTTTTATTTTCAATTTTTCTCATTCTATATTAAAGTTTATTCTTTTACTTTAAAACATATTTTCCCCATATACATAGTAATATTAATATAAACATTATGACTTCATAAGAAGCTCTTTCTGTTTCTTCAACATGAAATATAATCATATTAATATGAATACTTATAATCACCCACTTCACTACTTTCGTGTTGAAAATCCTTCCAAATTTTTTCAGTTTCTAAATGGCCTCTTTAATGCAACACCTAAACTTTCTTTGGAAACTCTTGTTATCTTATGTACTTTGACTCAGCTCAAAGATTTAAATTCTTTACCGTTCCAAATAAAATTGATCTGCATTAATTATTGCTAAACAACTTTCTAAAAATCAAATATCGTCAGGATAACATTGAATTAATTGGATATTGTTAAGATAACTTCAAATGCATCGCCCATCATTTATATAATGTTGAATGCTTCTAATTTGTTATTTTCTAATTACAATTTCATCATCTACTATTAATCTCTAGAATGATTGAAATTTAAATATTCTTAAATTAAAATTAATTATCTTGTTTAATTTTTTTCTTCCTTCCTCATCAAATATAGACTTCCACCAATCTGATTTTTTATTGATCAATAATATACTATTGTTTTAGTCAAAATTTAAAAATTACACATTTATTTCTTGTCTAAATTTGAACAGAAAAGATAAATTTAAATTACTTACTCTGTCCCCATTGTAAAAAAATGGAGGCTCAAGAACTCTTTCTTTTTCTTGTTCCTCTCATTGAGTCTATATCTTTCGAAAACCTCAACAGTAGAGAAATTCTCCTTCCAAATTTTCTCTTGCACACAAATTTCTCTCTCTCTCTCTCACACACACCCAATTTTCATTTCTTCCTCTTGGTCACTGCCTTCTCAACTCTTTTGTACGTGCAACTTTATTGGAGAGAGCAGAAGTTGATATCTCACGCGATGAGTCGTGTTTATATGCTTATGATTGCATTGGTTTGCTCGTTCACACAATCTCATGCTCGCCCATGCCTACCCGCTGCTTCGCCTGCTTACCTGTTTGAGCTAAGGGACTGTTTGTGTATTTAACAATTAGGCCAAAAATAGGTGAGTTTAGAAAACATAAAAAAAAAACTATGGAGTGAAAAATTTTATTATGCATTCCTTATTAATCAAACCAACACCAAAATTTTTAAGTCCCCGGCATTTGGAGTACTTTACTTTTCTTTTTCTGGAAACCAAATAACCCCTATATCAAAAATTACTATTAAATTAAGGGATTTTAAATGTGGAGAGAAATTCCTCACCAACTTTACATTGGGTTTGCTGCTTTCAGATGTGGCGATGCTAATATTGTTGAGGTTCCAGTTGAAGTAGAAACACCTGATCATCATTACTATCATGTATGCTATATGAGACTAATCACTTAAGTTCATTCTGTTATTTGTCCTCTAATCATTCTTTTCACTGATTTGACACAGTTTCTCCTCTTCTTTGTATTTCTCACAATGGCAGCTAGCTTTCTTTACTGTGAGAAAAGTTGAAGCTCTCGAAGAGCTAACTTGGGTAAGCAAATTTCTCTTGACTGTTCATTGACCAATGGTATACTAGGGCGAGTTTCAGTAACTGGAGTTGGCACTAACTGTCTTAAAGTGAACAAATTTCAGTAAATTTCGCCAAGTCCCAATCAAAATTGATCCAAAACTGATTCAAAACTCGCCAAAAAGGATCTGCTTTCGGCCAAAACTGAAAAATATGAACCATACTTCCTAAGCCTATATCCAGTCTTCACATCTCAATTTGAAGCATACTCACTACTGCTAGCCATAATAGACTCAAATTTCATTTCGGAACAATATTTTTTCAGCAGCATAGGTGAACCAATTTTGGTTCTATGTGAATTACCATAAGAAGTATATTTATATATATAAGTTGTGCTTTGCCTCACTCAATGTCCATCTTACAAATTTTTTCTCTTTGTGATATTTCTTGTTTCAGGACTATGGAATTGATTTTGATGATCAGACTCACCCTATAAAAGCGTTCTCATGTCGTTGTGGTAGCAAGCTCTGCCGGGACAGGAGAGCACAAATTAGTAAGTTTCACGTTCATTTATGCTATAGTTGCGATGGAGAAGATGGATTTAAAGCTGAATGCCATTGAACTTAATAAATTTTTGTTAATTGAATGTTTCATCTCATCAAACTTTTTTCAATGAGAAAGATGTGGGCTCTGAAAAATTCCATTTTATGTTGTGATCCTGGCCTCTCCGCGCCATTCGTATGTTTTTCTTTTAAGTGTTAGTGTGACGATAACAACAGAGAGTTTTAACAAGATTAGGTTCCGGGGGAATTTTTAGAAGGCAGATTGGGTTTTAGATAAGACACTACCCAGAGATTTTGCCCTCATTTTGTGAGGAACTTTTTTTTTTTATCTGAGTTCTGGTTTTCTATAGGCGCAAGCCCCTATAGTTCATTACCCCTCCCGATAACAGGAGAGAACTTTCGATTAAGGCTAGTCGTTAATAAGATTACATAGGTTATGAACCTACCTTATAATAGCAACAATTTTAGGGTTTAAATTTTGAATTTAGATTTTTATGATTTGAAATTTATCACTATGAACTTAAAACTGGTGGTGGGGGAATGAAGACGAGCCCGATCAAGATCCCATGGTTCCGTCGTCCCGGGCTGTCATGATCCCTGGTCTACTTAGTCAGAGGAGGTAGTCGACCCAACTTGACAGAATGCATCTTATCGACAGCCATGGGTTGCTTCTTCCAAGAATACCTTGTAAACCTGGGTTGGTGTTTTTCTAAGGGGATATATCTGAACCCACCTTAGCTGACAGAGGGCTTTATGCCTATCGAATATACCCTATGATTCATAATTTAAGGGTTTGACGCCGTTAGGGAAAATACGGGCTTTGGCCATGATCGTAATATAATGGTGTCATTTTGTGGCGAAACCACCCGATCAGAGGGCACGTGCCACGTTCCTGTTGGCAAGAGACTGTTTGAGGATGAATCAAAGTGATACACCCGACACACATTCGCTCTTTGTGAGTTGAGGTTTTCAAATTTATCACCCTCGAAAAACGGTTGTTAGAAGTGGATGATTTTTATTTTTGAGTTTTTTAGATGATTGATTTTATTTTAAGAATTTAGACCTTTGTTTGATTTGAGATTTGATCTCTCTGGTTGAGATTTTCTGTCAACGCGGCCTCTGTTTAGAATTGCGCAATAAGAGGCGCGCCGCGCAATTTGACCCAAAACCGCCTCGAGGCTTACGCAACTCCTCTCCTGGCAGAGGCGTACGCCTCACTTGGACTGAGGCGCGCTTCAGAGGCGCAATTGCGCAATTCTGGCTGAGGCGTACACCTCAAATATATGCTCAGTACCGCTCAGTACATGCTCGGTACCGCTCAGTATATGCTCGGTATAGCTAGGTATTTGCTCGGTACTGCTAGGTATATGCTCGGTACCGCTCAGTATATGCTCGGTATAGCTAGGTATTTACTCGGTACTGTTAGGTACATGCTCGGTACTGCTCAGTATATGCTCGGTACAGCTAGGTATTTGCTCGGTACTGCTAGGTACATGCTCGGTACCACTAAGTACCGCTAGGTACATGCTCGGTATTGCTAAGGAACATGCTCGTTACCACTCGGTATCTTCCCATAAAAACAACTTACGAACTTCAAAAATAAATAGAACTTCAAAATTACTCTTATAATAAAATTTTGTTCCCCCGCCAGGGGGCAGCGCCCCCTTGGACCCCCGGCAGTCCGGCATATTGTTCTATTCATCATCTTTAGTAATAGTTGTTAGTGTTAGTCTACTTCTTCATGAGTGCATGCTTTGATTGGAAGACATTGGACTCTATAGGAGAGGAGGATGGGGTGAGAAGATTCCCTTGAAGACCCATTTAGTGATGGGACATGATTAGATTTTATATGTTCTTTCTTAATTGTACTTTGGGAGTTTTAATAGACTAATATTTTATGGTTTTGTACTTTGGGACATGATTTTATTTCATCTATTTTCTTACTTTCCCCTAATTTTAATTGTCATTTAGATGTTTTTATTATATGATAGAATCTTACTATTTTTTACTTGCTAAAATCCTTAAATTATCATTTACGCAATTCTTCGTCGGTGAGGCTTACGCCTCACATCGCCTTGAGGCTTACGCCTCGCCTCACGGACGAAAAACGCCTCGAGGCTTATTTACGCAATTTTAAACCTTGAACGCGGCCATTATCGCGGTGACTTTAAAGTCACTCTTATTTTCGTAGGATTTTGGGAGGCATTTTGTAATTCAAGTCATGTCAACTCCATTCCTTTCAAGGAGGAGGATGAAACTTGAATATTTGACCCGCGCAGCATTCTCAAATCGTTAGATTTAAGACTTAGATATGATGATTGGAGCACATGCGGGTTGTACCATTTGACCCTGCGCAGCATTCTCGGTCATTGGTGTTTATGCTTTTAACATGTTGACCGGAGCACATGCAGGGTTATAGCATTTGATCCTGTGCAGCCTTCTCGAATATTTATATTTGTAACTTTAATAGGTATGTCGGAGCACATGCAGGGCTTAGCGCTTCAATTTGAATGATCATATTTAATACATAAGGGGTATTTTAAAATATTTAAATATGCTTCATTGCAAGTGATTTCGTTTAGGAAATAGTCTGGGATTTCATTTAAGGTCCTACGAACGCCTTCTGTCCGCTTGTACACATGTTGCGGATCCGGTGGCATTTATTTAGTACTATGATCATTTGCTTTTACTTGTAAGAGATTATTGTATTTGATTGACATTGTACGGAGGTCGGCTGCACGAGTGTTGTATCCTTCATTAAATGTTGTCGATTATCACTTGTAGGTTTATTGTGATTATGGAGAATCTCCTGTTAATATCAATAGGTGGTTTGTCATTATCTGCAAACGGATTGTTGTATATGTGATAATATTTCTACAACCACATGTGGGCAAGCTGTAGTGTCTTCTAACATCTATATCCCTTCACTAATATTCTCAGATGAATTTGATAGGGACTGCCACATCTTCTTATATGACATCTACGAAGAATATCATCAACCCTGATTTTCTTTATTAGATTTAAATGAGAATTTGACTTTTAATAGGACACAATGGAGAAAAATGATTCATGTAGCCGACCCCACGTAGTGGGATAAAGGCTTGGTGTTGTTGTTGTTGTTGGAGCTAAATGTGTCCTCTTATGCTTTGAAGCCAATCAAAGAGCACCATTACAATTGTTGTACATATACATCGGCCTTTTCTCTTAGAAAATTGGTGTATTATGTCTTCTAACATCTATATCCACCAATATTCTCAGATGAATGTGATAGTGACTGCCACATCTTCTTATATGACATCTACGAAGAATATCATCAACCCTGATTTTATTTCTTTTGGAGCTAAATGTGTCCACTTCTGCTTTGAAGCTAATCAAAGAGCACCATTACAATTGTTGTACATATACATCGGCCTTTTGTCTTAGAAAATTGGTGTATTATCTACATTTTGACAAGTGTCAAATTTGTATGCTCTTACCATACTACACGCCTCTTGCTTTCCTTGCAAGAACACATTTAACATTAGTATTTTGATCGATATAAACACCATGTACGGATTGTAGTATTCATTAGAGATTTTATAATATGGCTCATAAATAAGCGGTGTTCAAGGTTTTTATAGCCATATTGAGAGTGCAAGTGTGGTTCGAGTTCAAGTTTGAGTCCAAGTTCAATATTATTTGATCAAGTTTGATTTGAAATTGGTTTTATGTTTGAATTATGATCAAATCAATTCTTTTTTTTTTATATGTCCAAGTTCCCTGTTGTTCAATGAAAATTTCATCAGCCTTCCGGCGTCCCCTCCCCGATGCCGAGAGGTAAGAGAGTGACTCGACTCGGCCGGAGCGAATCAACGACGAGGAGATTTGGGAGAGCGAATCGATCCCATAAAAGAGTCTTCAAGTCTTCTAATGAGCACGACCTGCTAATTTAAACAACTTAATTTAATTTTAAAAATATTTTTGGTTCCCTCAAAAATCAGGCAGCCTTACGGCGCCCCCTCCCCTCGCGGGGAGGTTGGTACTTTCCCTTTGGCTCGACTCGGCCGGAGCGAATCAACGGCAAGGAGATTGAAAGAGTTGTGTCTGTGTCCCTCGGTCGGATAATCTCGACGACCGAGGGCTTTAGGTGACCGGATCAACCCCGGGACTTCCTTCAAAATTGCTCCCACATCTTTGCTAATTATTTCTCTTTCCCTTATATATATATATATATATATATTATAAAAGATAGAAAGAGAGGGGGATCGGGAGAAGTCAAGCCTGATCGGGCTAGGACGGGTGACACGCACGGCGGAGGCTGGAGTCGGCTTCGTTGATGACGGCGGGATCCAATAAAAGCCCCTCAAATCCTACTTAAAACCTCGTTACGTACCAAGAGACCAACCTTTGTGATGCTTTTTCTTTAGCGTGTGGGAGGGAAAACTGGTGTGAATGCTTTTTGATGAGGTAGCGTTAGCCTTTATACACACTTCTCTTAGCGTGGCGGGGTAAATCTAAGTATG